GTAGTTTTACATGATATTATTCAGCCGGTTACAACTAAATTCAAACTTCCTTTCGTTTATACGCAAACGTCTCAAAAAACAGACCAGAAATCACTAGAAAAAAAAAACTAGGCGATAAACATTGTATTTACCAAAAATCACATGCTCTGGTGAATTTCGCTGCCCTTGACGAATTTTCCTGTTTTTCTCTTCATTTTACATTTTTGTTTGAAATTTTTCTTAAAAAAATAGAACGGAAAAATAGGATTACAATATAATATTTTGATTATTTTACAATGAAACTCATGAGCACTGGAAACATATAAAAAAATGCCCTATTCAGAAAAAAATCTTGAAAAAAATCAGAAATTAGGTCTACGATTGATAATCTTTTTCATAAAGTTGTTTAGTAGTCCTTCTAGGGTTTCTGAGTTTGTCTTTTTATTATTCTCTCCTCTGTAGTGAGCCCTAAAAGCTCAAAACCTCTGAGTGACCACTAGACATTCTGAAAGCCTGGGCCGCTGTAGTGACCATTTATTCTCACCCTATAATTCTAACTGAAAGCTCAAAACCCTCAAATGACCACTATAACTTTTAACAATCTAGATCAATGTAGCTCACCTAGCTCTCCATGATAGTCCTAACTGATAGCTGAAAACCCTTGAATGACCACTAGATGCTCTAGAAGACTAGGCCGCTGTAGCGACCCCAAAATCTCCCACTATAGTCACAAATGAAAGCTCAAAACCCTTAAAGGACCACTATAACTTCTAAAAGTCTAGGCCAATGTAGCTCAATTACCTCCCACAAAGTCCTAACTAAAGCTGAAAACTCTCCAGTAACCACTCCGACTTTTCCGACTTTTTCTCGACCAGACAAATCACATGGTATCTCTTTCTCTCTCCCCAACAATAAACAAAACTCTCTTTTCCCACATGTTTCTGTTCGGATTTCAAAACTTGTCACACTTGGAAACCTGCCAATACGTTTCTATTTTTGTTTCTCGTTTGTTTGAAGCATTATTTTAAATATTTTTTGCTTCAAGTTTCCTAGTTTTTCAATTTTCATATTATTTTATTCACAGATTCCAAGCTGTTGCTTTTTTGTCATTTCACCGGTTGATTTCTGGCGAAATTCTCCAAGTCTCTTGTTTTTACACCATTATTCCAAACCGTCAGAATCTCTACGTCATAAAAAATAGTCGTTTTTTCGAGATTTTTGGATCTTTTTTGGACTATTTATAATACGCCTCAAAAAAGCCCGCGAACTTTCTGAGAACTTTTCCAATCGAAGTTACGCGATTTAAGGTCATCAAAAAAGGCTCGAACTCTCTTAACTCTCTGGTATTTCCGAACTATTTCGATAATCGTGCAATAAACCTTTTATGTAAAATTTTATCAGTCTCTTATTCTATTTAATTTGTTGAATTTTGATTTTTTATCTTGAGCTCCCAACCGGTTTCAATTTCGATTACCACTCACTTTGCCGCTACACCAAAATGATCTTTAAAAACACCGAAGTTTCTCTGAACTCTCTTTTCTTACGCACTATTTCGCGACTAATGCTGATTCCTTTCAAAATAAAGTTACTTTTTCGAAATTTGACATATTTCATCTTTTTTTGAGCTTTCAACCTTTTTCCAATTGAAAAATGCTTATTACTGGCTCAGAGGCTCGTGAGGGCCTCAAGTGCCTTTTATTCATTTATTTCAGGCTTAATGCCAATTTTTTCTCTCTTTTTTCTGTACATGTTATTTTGTTCTGCCTGTAAATAAATAATATTATTGATGCTACTCACTTAAGAAATTGGCCGCTAACTGATTAAAAAATGCCAAGGTTTCTCTGGACCCTCCTTTCTTACACGCTTCTTCTCGAATAGTGCTGATTTCTTCCAAATTTATGCCGTGTTCTTCCAGTAACTTCCGCAAAAAAAAATTATCTCTGACTCTCCAAACTTCAGTTATCTTTTTTTTTTCTCTGACGGCTATTTGCATTTCGTGAAATCACTTTGAACACTGCATTAGTATTTTTTTCGAAATTCGATAGATTTCCTCTTTTTTCGAGCTCTCAAGCTATTCTCAACCAAAAACCCACTTCAAACCGTATGTAATTGACGCTCCAGACGCTTCTTATCAGTTACCGTTGTCGTTCTTTTTCTCATGCAATCAAAAACGATAACAATCTTTATATGTGCTTCGCTCTTTTTTACCTTCTCTTTTTTCGGCTCGCTGAGCTTTTTTTTCCTATTCGGTGTCGTCGAAGAAAAAGTCGCCTTTTTTTCTAATTTTGCGTTATTTTTTTCCCCAAACGTTTCTTTTAATTATTTCTTCTTGATTTCTGATTTTTCCCGTTTTTTTTCTCCAAGTTTTTTTTGGTATTCGTTTTCTTTTGCGGAGCAATGCATTTTCTCGCCATCTTTCTCTCTTCATTTTGACTTTTTCCTATTTTTCCTGCTTTTTTTAATGATTCCCAGTCAAGATAGAAGTTTTATATTTTCATTCATCTCTTCCTTCTTATAAATATTCATTTTTTCAATTTTTTATTTCAAATCATCGGTCTCAAAAATGAAACACCAATCTCTTTTTTTTTCGATTTCGGCTTTGAAAAAGGCGTTTGCTCTTAATTAACTTCTTTTTGCTAAATTGAAAAGTTTAAGAAGGGTTAGGAAACTCGATCTAATACTATTAGAATTTCCTTCCTATAACTTCTTATCATATCTTGCTAAAACTATTTTTTCTATCACTTCAAGCCTCGAAATTGCTTTTACAATTCACCTGACCGTTTTTTTGAGATGCTCACCCAATTCAGTCTTTCCTATAATTCAAACTTAAGACTTTTTTTCAAATTTCTCCTTATTCACATCTTCTGGAACCTATTAACTTTGGCTCTTTCTTATAAAGAAGATGCATTTGCTCATCTTCTTAAAACGGAAAGGATTAACCTAAGTTTTCAAATCTCTCTCCCAACTTTTTAATCCTGCAGGATACAACAAATTATACAGGTATCTCTGAAAAAGTTCGCAAAAAATTATGAAAAATGTTTCAAGGGCAATCTGAGCGTTGATACTAACTTCGAAAGCTTCTATTCAATTTCAGTACTTTCTAAGACTCTCTTTTTTTTACCACAAAAACGAAACATTTTTTCTGCCTCTTTCTTTCGATTTTGTCTGTATTCATTCTAGCCCATTTCATATTTTACATTACATTTCTCCTTTGTCCAATATTTCGAACAAAGTTTTGAAATACTTCTCCAAGAACCCTGCTCTGAATTGAAATTTTTTTCAAAAAAATTATTGTATTTTTATATTCGAAAAAAAAAGATAATTCTTTCGGTTAACCTTGAAACTTACTACCCAATTTGAAGTCTCAATTTTTTGCGTTCAAGAGCAAAAATATTTTTGTCCCTGGTTAGTCTTTTTCTTTCATTTTTTTTTTTGTTCTTTCAAAAAAACCTCTTTTCTTCCCTTTACTTAGAATCGCTTTCAAAATTGATGATCTACTGTGACTCATTCAAAAAAATAGTTCGAAAACCGGCTCAATCAGAAAAAAAAATCGTTCATTTGAAAACACTCACCTCCTCATCACGAAATCCTCATGTGGACAGCACTTTTAGTCTAAATTTTTGGAGAAGATCCCTCAATTTTTCGTTGCCCTGAGAATAATTCTTTTGTCAATATATCAAGCCCAATTTACCTTTGGCAAACTTTTCCTGATCCTAACGAAATTATCGAACGACGTAATTTTGTATTCCTCATCGGAAACAAAACCTTCCTTGTGAAATTTCAATGAGCCTGAAAATCAAAACCATGTTAGTCACTTTCAATGAAAATCGTCGGAAAGATTTATTTGCAGCCTTTTCTTTTTACGAAAGAGTATCTCAATGTAGTTACGAACTTGCGATGAACAATAAGAAGTTGAAAAAAAATGTAAGCGCACCAAAAGACGGAGAACTTTGCTTGAAGTTTATAAATCAGAATAAAATTATCTTAAAGACAAGAAACGTGTCATTTTCTAAAAAATTTGCTCACTTATCAAATTATCAGAATATTTTTTTCAACCTCTTCTGAAAGCTGAAAAATAGGACCCTATCTCTAATAAAAGAGTTGGATTGTACAGGAAGACGCAAGTTATATTGTAAGACTGTAATTCACGTGAAAATAACAGCTCACTTCATTATGCGTTGAAAGACTCATGTCGCGAAATTCAAATTATATAACTTTCCCATAAAAAAAAAGAAAAAATTGAGTAAAGATTGGATGGATAGGCTAACAGTTTTTTTCTGTGTCAGCTAAATTTGTTTGCACCAAATCAGGATTCTCTGAAAAATTTTCGCGCAAAACGAGATATTTTTTGTTCACGTTAACGGCTTATATTGTACGAATGAAATAATTAAAAAGAAATACGAATTTCTTATTCTAAGTGATTTTGCGAAGCTCAAATTGGCTGTCTGAGAGTGAAAAAAAGATGACACACATTTGGAGAGCCAGAGATAACTTTGACTAGAGGAAATTACTTTGAAAAAAAGGCAGAAAACAAAAAGAAAACCCGTTTTTTTCGAGATTATTATTAAATACGTAAAGCGCTTCACTTGCAAGCTCAGCCACGCCCATAATTCCTCGCCGAATGCAAATTTTTGATTTTCAAGCGATTTCTTATCAAATATTGCAATATATTGTTCGAAACTTCTGTTTTCCGATGGTTTCTACAGACTTACTCTTCAGTATAAGGTAAACTAGTTTTTAAATTTTTTTAACTTTTTGAATTACCTTTCTAAATAAGGTTTTTTTCTTCTAAACTTATGTTTTTGCGACTTTTTCTCTCCTTCCTCTTGGAAATATCTGTTTGGTCATCATTCGTTATTTAAAATTATTGTTCGGGAAGTTTATTTTCTGAAGATTTTTTTTTGGAGTCTATTTTTAATTCTTTGTCAGTTTCAGTCCGATCGTTTTGATGACTCGGTTAAAACGATAGCCGAAAAAATTACCTGAAAAAGATGAATTTCAACGCGTACAACGACATTCCCATGTCGGACCCGTTTTTATCGTTGGAGACGAATCTTGATGATATTTCAAGTGAGTCAATATATTTTTTTGGTTCTAATGGTCTCTTGAGAAAACATATTGGTTTAGAATAGTAGAGAGGTCGCGGCAAACAGTTTTTTTTTTGATTTGACAAACAAACCTGGCCAAAAAAAACATTTGTTGTTGAACGGCCTAGTGCAACGCTGGTGTATTGAAAATGATCTTTTTTTTGAATTTTTGTTATCGAAATTGCAACTATTTTAGAATGAAAACTCGTTTGAAAGATTTTTAAAAGAAGAAAAAATGGGCGTACTAATTCAAAAAAGACAAGCCGTTTTTTTAATGTTCTTTCGAGTTTATCTACGTCTTTTAATGTCTCACAAATGTATTTTAACAGCTTATTCACAACTTTCAACAAAAATCAGAAATTTTTGAATTTTTCAGCGGTTTTGGGCGGCGATGTCATGGATTACGATATGGACACGTCGGCCAATTGGTCATCGGCCCAGTCGACCAGTAGTTCTCAGGTATTCCAATCATTTTCTAATGAATCTCGGTTTCCAGAATCAATCAAAATCTACTAAATCCTTCAAAAAAAGTGAAGAATACCTTTTTTTCCACCAAAATTTTATCTAGTTTTTCAGAACCTGAAAATTTTTCACTACAATAACTCTCAAAGGAAACCAGCTGCCTTTCAATTAACCAAAAAAATTAAACAACCTCCCCTTCTGAAGGCACCAAAAACCGGCGAAAAACACGGAAAACACCATTTTTTTCATTCTGAAAATAGGGAATAACATGGAAAAAGCCGCATTGTTGATTTGGCGTTGATGAGATTTTTTTGAGAAGATTAAAAAAACTTTTTAAATTTTTTTGGGTTTATTTCTTTTCTGGATATACACGCGTTCAAATAAAAAAATTTTTGTCGGCTAGTAATTTTTAGACCTCTTTTTTTGAAAAATGTTAAAAATTTAGTTTTTATGAGGATATGTTTCATCCATTTTTAGTTTCATCTTTCTAAGTATACCTTCGAAAATCTGAAAATTGAAAGCTATGGCAATCCTCGAAGGGAAGGTTAATTTTTCTTTACGGTTGGGAGTTTTTCTAAAAAGTCAGCCAGGATATTTTTTTGATGTGTATATGAAAATTCAAAAAATCGACATGCTTTTTGTTTTTTGTACACTTCAAAGTCTAAGAGAATTTCCGAAAAACGAAAAAGGACATTTAGAGTTTTTGAGCCTTTATTTTTGAAAATTGCACAGCTCTGCAAGATTAGACTTTCCAGACCCTCATTCACTACAAAAAAATTTCTAAGAATGAAAAATTACACATTTTAATATGAATCGACATTTTTTTAATGGCCTGGCAGAGAAGTTCAAGGAACCCTGTGACTTATGAAACTTTTTTTCAAAAATATTTTATAAGAATGATGTATCAACTTTTCTTAAAAAAACAATATTAAAAAAACAATATTAAATATATTATACCTCAATTATCACCAAAAATAAACCTTCCAAGACACCACGATCGCCTAGAATCCTGAAAATACCCTAACCAATATTTACGAGACACGGCTCTCCGCGCCAAAGCCCTTTCTTTCCTCTATCTCACTCGGTTCATTTTGTTTTCCCCTACCCCCCTCTGGCTTGTTGTGTTGCCTTGTTCTCTATGACGTCCTCGCGGCGGTTGTTTTGGCTCTTTACGCGCGTGCAGCGCGTTTTTTGCGCGCTGCACGCGAAAACGTGAAAATGACGTGTGGGAGGCGTGTCTCCAACGAAATAGTAAATAAAATAATAATAAATACAAATCTTTTTCTTACAGCCTTCCTACGCGACCCAAGGACACCACGTGCGACGTCCGAATCAACACAGTCCGCCTCAAGAATTTTATGACCCCAATAGGTCCTCATATTTATTTGAATTTGAACTTTTAACGGAAACTTGGGTGCTTGGAATTCCTATTGAAAAGCTGAATTGAGGAAAGATTAGTTCGGTTGAGGTCGAAACAAGATCAGATTCAAAGATTTTAAGGGTTTTTGAAGTTCCAAATTCAATATAAAGACTTTTCTGAAGTACTAAATTTCATTAGGAAATTGTGACTTGCCGATTTTTCAGTTTTTCTAATAAAAAGAAAGTCGTTTTCCAGAAAGTTCCAATGGAAAGATGGGGATTATCAGAAACTCCTTTTTGATAGTTTTTCACATATTTTTCAATCAACTTGGGACTTTTTGAGTAAGTAGAAGTTCAGAAATTCCTCAAAATATCTAAATTTTTTTCAAAACGCGAAATTTTAAATTTAAAAAGTTAAATGTTATGCTGAACTTGCTCGGTAAATTTTTTTATACAAAAAAATCTGAAAGTCTCTCTTACAAACTCCAAATTATTCCTCGACATCCTTCCCATTTCACGAAAAAAAAAAATAGAATACTTGAGTCTGAAACTCCTGGAAGCCTCTTACTTTTGAAAATCTCAACTTCTAGTCACTCAGAAGCATTTTAGACGCTTCAGTTTCGTTTAGAAGACGAATTTTGTCATTTTTAGACATCAGAAAATTCTTAGAGACGCCTTTGCTTCGCAGAAGCCTCAACACAAGCTTCTCGATCTTACGATCTTTAAGGAATCAGATATCTCAAGTTCTAGCAACTGAGAAGCTTCTCAAGATACTCCTACTCCTAGATGAACCTTTAAAAATACTTCCTTGTCCTCCGCGATCTTCAAAAATGCGAAAAATATAAACATTTTCTCAGTCTCTCAGAAGAAGCCCCACAATAAAACTCCCTCTCCTCCTAGTGATCTTTAAAGTTCCAAAGGTTCTTAGGAAGCCACGCCCATCCGTTTTTGAATGTATGAATTGTTTTGAGGGTGGTTGGTTTGTGTGAGGCTTTTTAAGGTAATTCCCGTTACGAGCAATTCTTTTTACTCGCTCTCTTTTTTTGCCAAGGCATCAGAAACCAGAACGTAAACAGGCCTTTTGGCACCGCCCCAATGTATTTTTTTGTATGTTTGTATTTATTTATGTTAATTCCCATTCTCGCACTTGGAAACTCAGTCAAAGCGTTCATTTGCTTAGCTAGGTGTGGTTTCCACTTTATAAGGAGAATTCTAGCTTGAATTTCTGCTAGGGTACCGTATGCCTTTTTAGATTTGTTTTAAAAAAAATTAATTTTCGATTTAATAAGTTTCCTGTACGGTTCATACGAATAAAACGAAAATCTCTATCAATTAGGGCTATTTTTCGTGTAGAAACCCTTGTTTTAAGGTTAGGAATAGTTTCTGAGCCTCTAAGCTCCGCCCATTCTTCCCACAGCTTTTATTCAGGTGGACAAGAATTAAGAGCCAGTTTTTGTGTTTCCTCCAGTTTTTAGAGGTTTTTCAGTAATTTAGGAGCTTTTAAGCATTAGAAATCATGAAGAACTAACTTGAGAGTATATTAAACTTGTAAGCAGACTTTTCCAAGCATTGACTTAGTTTTTGAGTTAGAAAAAGTATGATTTTCTTTAATTTACGTCGAAATTGAGATAAATCTCTTAAATTATAGGTATCTCCTTATTAGAAGACGTTTCTAGAAGACGTTAGGGATTAAGTTGTTTTAAAGCATCATAAATCAAAAAAAAGTGACGTGGGGGTTTATTTTCCTCGTAAATAGGACTTTTTGAGATGGAAATCTCGTTTGAAGTAAAAGGAATAACAAAAATATCTTGTTTTTCTGGGACTTATCATTTTTCAAAGCTTAATCAAAATTTTCCAAGCTTTTGAGAATTCATAGAAGCTTCTGAGGAAAGAGAGCAAGAGTTTTCTAAAAAAATTTCTGAAATCCTTTATTTTTTGAGAATTTGTCTCGAACTATTTGAATTTTGAGGCGTTTCCCAAGAGTTCATCATTTTCAGCTTGATTCAAAATTTCAAAGCTTCTCAGCTTTTCCAAGATTTTCAGAAAGGCTTATCATATCTTATATGCCTAGAAGAATCTGGAAATGTGCTTGTTTTTTTGTTTTTCCTTCTAAAAGTGAATAATTATAGAATCCCCTCATTTTCTAGCCATGCCTCGATCTATGAGAACTAGTTGAAAAAAAGGCGCAAAATTGGAAAACATGTTGTCCCGCTACACGCCCATTTCTATGTTGATTTTCATCTTAGCCTTCTTATTTTTCGTCTTTTTTCGAAGAAAACCAAGGAAATCCATTGGAAATTCGAGAATTTAATTTATTATTATTTTTCAGACCCCCAGAAGTTGGTTCCATGATGTCGTTGTTATACAATGGACCCGTTGATGATCCCTATGCTTCAATGAAGTTGGTTTTTTTTTTTGATTTATAATTAGATAGTTTTAATTAAGAATTGGTTCGCGAAATCAAAAGATCCTAATTTTCGAATGAATCTTCAATTCAGGAAAAAGTTTTAAAACACCAAAAATCAAGGCAAACACGGCCGCATTTGTTGTTTTTTACAAATATTCACGTTGTTTTCGCATTTTTTCTTATTTTATCTTTTTTCTGTCTGTCAGAGAATGGATTTTATCTCCTCTAATGAGATTTATTCTCGAGATGAAGGAAAATTTTGGTCTTTTGAAAGCTTTTCCAAAGTGAAATTTTCTCGATTCTCAATAGAGACTCCAAAATATCAATCAAAAGTGAGATTTTTCAGATTTTCACCACCCAATTTGGACATTCCGTCCCCCACTACAATGCATAACCTCACCGGACCGGCTGGAATGCTTTCGCAGCTTGGGCCGGCCCAAATGGCCCAAGCAAACGGCTATCCGGCTGATGGCTATCGGCCCATGGCGGTGAGTTTGGAAACCGAAGTGTCTAGGGAAATCTAAATATTTTCAAAGAAAGGAATTTTAAAAAAGGACCTTGCCGAGAAAATTGGATCAAGAAGCCTTTTCGAAAATATAGTATCCTTTAAACAAGTTCTGCCTTGAAAGCTGAGATATGTTTTTCAAATTTGGAAAATATTTGCTCCTGAAGGTCATTGGTAACAAAATATTAGTCCGAAACTTGGTCTCTGAAAAATTTGTAACGAGTTCTGACTTTTCAGAATTAACGTATTGAAAAATAAAAAGTTACTGATTTCTTAACATTGGTTTTTTTCAAAGTTTGAATTCGCGAAAACCCGAAAAACTGTAGAAAATTGAACCGTTTTCTCCTGAAAAAAATTCTTCTAAAACTGTAGTTTTTTTTCGCTGACTACGCACTACTGTCTTTTTCGTGATAAGAACAGTTGTAAAACTGCCAGAAAACTGCCAGTTTTTTCTGTTATCAGCCTTTTTTGTCTGACATTTGGACGGTTGTAAAAAGTTTATCTGTACACGTGTAGGTTGGGAAAGCTAGAAAAAAAAGAGAGAAAGTCTAGGGGTTTTTCGGAATACAATTTTGAAGAAGAAACAGATGAAAATGGGCTATAGGAAAGTGGATTTTTGAAAAGATCGAATTTGATAATAGGAAATAGGAATAAACTCCGGAAAAGGTAGGAAAGGTTTTTGAAAAGTCTAATTTTAACACTTTTTTAGTTGAAAATTGAACATAATAAGCTGTACGGTTTTTTTTAAAGTTTTGCATAAGTTTTTAAGGCTTCACCTCATTTTACACTGGAATTTTTATATTTTCTGGCAATTTCTGCGATTTTCATTTATCTTATCGCTTTTCTAGGACTTACGGCCCGAAGATTGCGAACAAAGCGATATTTTCAGACACTTCTTCATAAGCATGCTCTTTTCAAAGACGATTTGTCTTATCTTATCAGAGAGATTAGACTATGAAGAGAAAAAGTTGACACGTGTGTGAAAAAATCTGGGGTCCATGGTTGGCTCTAGTTTCAAGGATGAGAATGAAATAAAGCCATTCGGAAAAGGCAAATTTTGTGGAAATCTACAGTGAACTTATCGAAAACGCGATCATTTTCCAGGGCCCGCAGCAAATGATAAGCGGAGCTCAGCCAGTAATGTCGCCGCCAGCGCTGTACGTCCTCACACAGCCCCATGAAATGGAGCAAAATGGGATGGAACGAAAGGTGCGCTCTTGTGAAGCCGCCCCATCGAGAAAAATATTGAGAATTTTTCAGCCGTTCCTCGACCAAAACGCCATGATGATCTCACCGCCTCAGCAGTCTGGAGCGATGCATCGGGTCGGTTTTTGTCGGATGACGTCATGAGAGTTGTGCCGTCACTTTTCACAAAACATCATTCTGAATGATGCCGAGGAAGCTGCTACTTTCTGATCCATTCAAAAAAAAATTAAAGCAAAACACGCGAAATGACGTCATTATTGTTCAGAGATATCATTGAATGACGACATTTAAAAAAATTCAAAAGTGGAAAAAGGGTCCGATGACGTCATTTTCCAGATAATTTTTCTCCAGTGACGTCACTCTCTCAGATAATCTTATAAATTTCCTTCACTGACCATTTCTCCAGATTCAAATTCATTAGAGTAATTCTCGATGACGTCATAACTTTTTTCAGATAAAATCCGAACCCAACACGAGTTACCCGTCGCCATCTCACATGCAACAGCAAGGTTACCAAATTCATCAAATGATGCCGCCCCAACAACAAAATGGCGACGTCACCTACGCCCAGCAGGCGCAGTCCCCAGAACCCAGAAACACCAAGGAGGAACTCTTGAGGATGCTGGTGAGTTTTGAGAGGCCACTTGACTTGAGTGTTTTTGATCTCAAATCGATAATTAAATATTGATATGGAAGAGGGTGTAGTAGAGGTTGCTTAGAAGGACTTCTTTAGATGTGACTTAAGGAGTAACAGTTCCAATTGTTAGCCTTATCCGGTAAGAGGTCACTCAAGGGGATTGAGGCGTTTATCATGCATTGACGTTAGGCGAATGGGTTGCTTTGAGTGCTTTTCCAAAGTTTCAAAGGCCACTTGAGGACTATCGATCCTAAAAATCTAGTGTAACCGAGTTTGACGTAAAGTGGAGCCTCTGTGAAACTTTCGATCTGTTTCCAATTTTTTGAGCCAATATAATTAGTTGTGAAGCCTTGGATGACGGTAATCCGTCCATGTTTAGGCCAACATGTCACCCGACGAAGTCGAGCAGCTGAAAGGCCGCAAATCCCAACAATCCCAGCCTCAACAGCCACCGCCGCAAGCAATGATGCAGCAGCAAGTGCCTCCACCGCCATTGGCCATGGAGACGACCCCACCGCCGCCTCCGACTTCATCCTACACGCCGCGGTCGACGAGAGTCCAACCGCAGACTTGGATCGACGACGAGGAGGACACCGACGACGGTGACACCATGAGTTCGGCTCCAGAAAGAACCTCTCGACGTAGGAAATCTGACCTTGAATGTTGATCATTTCCTGTTTTAGCGCCTAAGACCGAACGAAGGACTGCACATAATCTGATTGAGAAGAAGTATCGCTGTTCTATAAATGACCGGATTCAGCATCTCAAGTCGCTGCTGGCTGGCGATGACGCGAAGGTTGGTTTAGTGGCTTGAGGGATAGGAAGGTCCCAGGTTCAATCCTCAGTTAGATCAACTTGATTAGGAAGTTATGCGTGTTTTTTTTGTGGATCGGTGACGTCATTTTAAATTCGCAATCTGGTGTCATATTTTTTTCATTATGAAGAGCAAATGACGTCTCTTAGTTCAAAAATTCGATTCAAAAAAAAAATACCAATCATGATCCATACCATTATTCGATCGAGAAGACTAACTCAGATCATTTTTCAGCTGTCCAAGTCAGCGACGCTCCGCAAAGCCATCGAGCACATCGAATCCATAGAAGCGGAGAATAATGCTCTGAAGGCGGACAACGACCGCCTCCGGCAGATTCTGCTCAACAACGGCTTCGAGGTACCCCGACGTCATCAGTTCTTCAGCCGATGACGTCATCCGAAAATTCAGTGTCCTCCTTCGGTTGGATCCGATTCGTCGCGAGTCGAAATGCAGCAAGTGTCGCCGTCGCAACTCCCTTCGCAACTGCCTCAGCCGCCGCCACCCGCGGCGAATGTTGGTTCGACCGGTTGCCTGTCCAACTGTAGGCTACCGTATAAGCCGATGCAGCCCTTGCATTGTTTCGAGAATCTCTCGTTTTGATTGGATCTCTGAGGATTCTGACCTCTATTGATCGATTCTCACCCATATTAATCAGTTTATCAAGATTTTTGCAACATTATCCATCGACTTTTGGCCCCCTAAAAAGCCCCCGTATTTCTTTCGACCATCCCCAAACGGCGTTCAGGTCAAGCGGGGCACAAAACGCGCCCGCGCCAATACCAACGTCGCCGCCGCCGCGACTCCTGAAGCCGTGGCGACGCCGTCGTCGCCGGACGGATCTCAGGCGCGCGTCACCATTTTCGCCTTCATGCTCGCCGTCCTCGTCTTCAACCCCTTAAGGTCTCACTTGTTATGTAAATTTTGTGATTTTCTTGTTGGTCATATCTTTTTGGCCTCAGTGAGGTTTGAGAAAATGTGCTCAACGTCATTTTTTGAAAATGTTTAGTGACGTAATTTCTTGAAAAGTTTTTGCCTCTGTGAGGCGTGGTTATGTAAAAGCTCAGGGTTGATGGCGTTTATTATTATTTTCTTTCTTTTAAGAAGTTTATTATTCATTTCTTTTTCTAGCGACGTTAGGTTGTGGTTTTGACGTCATTTTTCGAGAAAAAGTGCCTCCGTGAGGCTTGAAAACGAAGTTCTATTAAGTATGCATGTATGAAGAACTTTCAAAGGAAAAATTAAAAGAGACTTGGTTTAATTTATTCAAAAAATAAACGTCCTACTTTTTCTAGTATTTCTCAACTTTCTTAAAACGCGGCGGCTTTCCGGTGACGTTATTCCCTTAATCAAAATGTACAAAGTTTCACAAACTCATGTAAATAATTCAAAAACTAACACGCAAATTATTATATATTTGGTCTCTATAAATATAAGCAATACATAGCGTGTACATACTGTTTTTATACAGAGTATTTATCACTTTCTTTCCTTTTTTGACCTTGTAAATATTTTTTTCTCATCTACAAGTCTTTTCTCCCCCACTTTTGCCTCGTGTCATAAGCCTTGATTTCTTCATCTCACTCGAAAATAATCATTTGTAAATATTTCCTGTTGATCTTTCTCCCTATTGTACAAATTTTCAGTTCACTCCCGTTTCATTAATCAATAAAGATTGATTGCACAGAATACGAAAAAAGGAAAAAATGCATGGATACAATAAGTAAAGCCCTTGGGAACACAAGTTAGTTTCAGAGTTAAAAAAAAACAAATCCAAGGATTAAAATAAAAGAACGAGAAAGAGTCAAGTTTGAGAAGAGAAAATTCAACATTTACAAAAAAAAATGAAAGTTTAAAACAGTGTTGCATTAAGAAAAGCGGAGCAAAATCATCAAAAGATTAAATTTGAGAAATAACACAAGTGAAATATTGAGTTTAAGGTACCTGAAAAGTAATGAACGTAATAAACTACAAAATCATCAATTTGATGAATTTTAGGAACAGAGAAGTTGAAGAAAATCCTTACCAAAAAATAAAATAATACAGAAAAGAATAAAAATGTTTTTCTAGTCTAGAGTTTTCACGCAGAACTTGAAATTTTCTTTTTTTTTTCGAAACGCTTATAGATCATGTAATAAATATTGGGTAAAAAGATGGCAAATTTTTTTTTTTCAAACCACTACAAAATGAAGAAAAGCTGACTCGAAAAAAGGGAATCATTTAAAGTTGCAAGCCACAAAAAAACTATAATTCAAAAAGAATAAATGTAAAAAAAAGGTTCCAAATTGGGAATTTGTGTTCGCAGGGGCTTTATTTGTTGTTGAAGTGCGATTTGAGATTTTAAAAAAACTAAAAAAATATCTTTTCAACTATAAAACTGCACGGACATTGAAACGGACGTTCTCCGGACGTTTCTGGGCGATTCAAGGGGTCACTTAAGAGTGCTGAGGCTACTAAAGTGATCACTAGAAATGCTCCGACACGTCCGATTCGCGTCCCGTTCGCGTTACTAAGGTCCGAGTGGGTACTTGTGCTCCATTTCTTGAAAAAATTCATTTATCCTAATAAATTTCGTTTCTTTTCCAAGTCTGCCTCATTGTTTCCAATTTTCTGTTTTAAAATTTGATTTCCCGTAGATTTTTCCTATCGAAATGTTTTTTTTTTCAGTTTTCTGGTGCAAGGCTCTCACGTGGCAGCGATACGCGATCACCAAGCGTCACCTTTCGATCACGGCAGGATTCTTGATGTTTATTTTTAATTTTCATATTTATATTTAGAAAAAACTAGAAAAAAAACCGGTCTCAGCTAAAAAAAAAGAAACTTTTTTTACAGTATCAAATGCTTTTTTCTTCATTTTGAGATACAGTACCGCTCAAAAGTCTATTAAGTTTTGGTTTTTTGGGGATATCTCAGCGAGTACTTATCCGATTTATATATAACTTTCAGGGATAATGTAAAATATACTTTTAAACGTATACGGTATACAAAGACATGTCCGCAATGACTGTGACGCGTTTTTAGGCATTTTTTTATTGAATTCCATTTTTGTTTTTTTATGCTTTTATTTTTTTATTTATTTTTTTATTAAATTTTTTTAAAATTAATAATGTTGCCATATGATTTTTTTCATGTTTTCAGACATGGGAAGAATCTCTGGAAAAAAGAATTTGACTGATAACGACAAAAGAGCCAGAACACGTATGTCTCTCTCAGAAAACTATGAAAAAAAATTTGAATCGATATCGCACTTCAAAAAAAATTTATCCCCAAAAAACCAAAACTTAATAGACTTTTGAGCGGTACTGTATGTGGGAAAATTTAAAAAACGCATCAAAAATTTAAAAATTCCTCTCTGAAGTAGAGTGATTCGATTCATGGCGATAGGATTTTTAAAAAAGCCATTCTTCAGGATTCCCCAGCCCTATCCCAATCCGAAGATCAATGGTGGCATCACAACGTCATCCGGCCGCTATTCGTCTGGTCTATCAACTTTTTCGTCGTGTTCTGTGTCCTGGCACGGCTCCTCGTCTGGGGAGAACCTGTTCAGGTTAGAATTTTGTAATCGACTTGCCATGGCTTTCGTTGAGGATATAATTGAACGTTATCAGTTTCCAGGACTTCAAATCGGGTTCCTGGTCTTCGTTTGGTTCTACACGAGAAAAAGCGCGTCAAGAGGCTGAAGATGGCAATTTGAGAGAGGCTCAGCGGCAGTTTTGCGAGTGCCTCGTGGTCAGATCAAGCTTGATTTTAACGGAATATATAGTCCATTCTCTTCTGTGTTAGGACAAAAAAAAATGTCTAAACCTCATTTATCCACACGCTATTCTTTCACGTCTTGAGAAACTTTCTTTCGTGGCTCAAGCTAAAGGTGAATTTAGTATAAAGCTTAAAAAAAGCCGAAAGAGTACTTTTTGTCGAATTTCAAAATTATTTAATCTTGGAAACATCCTGTGATTCCACTTTCATATTATTAGTTTTGAAATATTAGTTTGGTCTGCCATAGTGCAATAGGTTGTGTGCCTGTCTACTGTCCACAGGGTCACGAGTTCGATCCCCCCCCGCGATCCAACCAAGAGGTTTGAGAAATTTAGGTAGCCCCGACTGTACTTGTGAATTGGAAAAATTTTTTCTCAGCTACTTTTCGATCATTTTCCCTAGTTTCAGTTTAACTTTGAGTCAATTTCGTTTCACCCACTCTCTCAATTCTAGATCCTGGATCGACCCCTCCCATCAGCCGGCGTCGACGCTTTCCTCTCCGTCGTCTGGCAACTCATCCGACACCTTCTCAATTGGCTTTGGATTGGCCGATGGCTGGCGAGAAGACGTCGCTCCACCACGACTACTGTTTCGGCTGTCTGCAGAAGTCATGCCCACACGGCTGTTCTCTACCATGATATTCATCAGGTGAAAAGGCTCTTCAAAAATAAATATTTTTCCTTGTTATTTTTTCTTCATGACTTCTGTTTGAATCATATACATGATTGTTCGATTTTTTTTTTCGTTTTGAAACCCCTCGAAGCGTCGCGGTTGCTTCAACATCACTTCTGAGAAAATTTAAGAAATTTTGGGGTCACCCATAAGTGTTAAGCCATTCCAAGTGCGACCTTGAGCTGTGCGGTGAATTCAATAACTGAAACTTGATCTTCAGCTCCACCTCATGGGGATCGACAATGACAACGGGGAGCCGACAAGTGGGCTTTACCTGGCTCTGTCCGCGGTGAATCTTGCCGAATCGGCTGGAGCTTCGGCTGACGGCCTTCCCAGGGCTGTCATGGCTCAGATTTACATCGCTGCCGCTTTGAGGTGCCCTTTTAGGGATATTTTAAGATTTTTGCTGGGTAAATGATGTTTGATATTTCATCTTCAATGTCCTCAAGGATCTTTTAAAATATATTTTTCTCAAGGACCATAGTCAAGTTTTGCATCAAAAATCATGTTGATGTGCTGTCGTTTCCTCAAAAAATTGAACTTGTTGGATATTTTTATTAAGGCAATTTAATGAAAACACCTGAAACTGCGGTTTTTCAGGTGCCGAATCTCCTTGCCGCCCTTCATCGCTTCGGTAACATCCGGCTACTTTTTCCGTAGAGCTCGACGGCATGTCAGAAGGGCGCCGGAGCATAGTGTAATTAGGAGAAACTCTCAAGTGACCACTTGAAAATGATTCAGGTCTCACATCTCTTATGGCTTTTCCACCCTGCAGCCAGGAAGTACATGGCCAATGCTCAACGGCTTCGAGAAGTCCTTTCCACAAGGCAGAACATGAAGCTTGAACCCTTTGTCGACGAGGATCCTGGTTCACCCTTCTGAAGTTCTCAGTTTCTCATGAAAACCCTTAGGAATGCCTCTGAGTCGACTCCGAGGTGCCTTGAAAGTTCACTTGTTGGCTCAGCTCGTCAATGAGCTGGCTGGAGGGGAAGACGTCGACGTTCGTCCGTCTTCTGAAGTGGCCACGTCGACAGCGACCTCGACAGATGACGTCGACGTCGTGGATATCTCACGGCTTCTCGTCTCTATGTGCACTCAAACGTCGGTGCCGAGCAATGGCAAGGATGAGGCAGCGAGTAAGGGATATAGGAAATACTTGAAATTTGGCTAGAAGGCTCTAAGATTCCGAAGGGTCTTTAGGTTCTGGAGGCCTTAGCCAGCTAAACTTGAACAAAAAAAAAATGAGGAAGTACCGTTGTGAATTTGAAAATTTCGAAGCTATGAGTAGGCTTCAGAAAATTTCGAAGTTCAAGTTAAAATTACCTTCCAAGATTCCAGAGTTCGGATCCTGGCTGCCGAGATCAGGAGATGCCCCTTGTACCTGGTGGGCTCACGTCCTTACCTGTGCTGTATATTGGCGGACTGGCAAGACTGAAGCCGCCAGGAAGCACTATTCTCTTATCCGGAACTGTCCTCAAGCCTTACTTCAAGAGTAAAAAATATATTGAGATTTGAAATTGGAAAGTTTTCAGTCGGTTGGCCTTGTCTGTTGGACACGCCCTCTGCGCGAGGAAGCTCTGCGTAGATGACCGGGATTCTTCCTTGTTTGGGAAATATGTCTGCATCCATTCCAGAAAATCCTTGGAGACTTTGAGGCTATTTTCGGCTCCCAATTCACCGCCGATTGTCAGGGTTGTACAGGTAAAAAGATGGTTATAAAAAGCTGAAAAGTCCATTTTACCGAAGTTTGAAACTTAAAGCGTAAGATATCACCCTGAACATTTCTGATATAGTCCAAACGATTTTTTTGCCTAATAGAACTTTATAAGCGCTCTAATTTTCTCTTTTGCTATTTGAGCCGTTTTTCTAGCTTCAGAAACGCTTCAGCCATTCAAAAAATAACCACAACTCCTTTTTCAGGATGGCGTGCGTCGGATGGCCTACGAATGGGTGATGAGCTGTCTTCTGGACGCCTGGCGGGCTTCCCTCGACGCCGCCCAACCTTATTGGACCCAGAAGTTCGACCTGCAGCCGACATTCAGCACCTTGTACCAGGAGTCCTGCAACCATTACACAATTATCCATGGAAGATGCGGTGGTAGTCGGGTAAAGCACGAGAAGCTCTGAAAAGCTCCACTGATCACTTCTCAGCTCCTCGTCTACGAGCTGACGTCACGGATGCTCAACGGCGCCAACCCGCAGACGACATGGATCGGAGTGCGACGCGTACGCGCGGCGCGTCTAGCCGCTGTCCGTGGACGCGTTTCGATGCGTCGGGCCGCCCAGCCGGACGCTTTCCACCTACATACCTTGTGCAAATTGCATGCTTCTATGGACTTGACGTGATAGTGACGTCATTTTCGATCGATATTTGATGTTTTTGGAAAAGATTGTCCGCTAGAAACACTGTTATTGGCTGAAACGTATTGAGAGGTCCTTAGATGTTCATTGAGCTTGAACCCGAATCTAGCTGTACCCGGAGAATGGACAAAATGATCTTGAGCTTTTCTAAGCTTCTAGTCGGTCCAAATGCTTGAGCGGTAACTCCGGCTTCAGCCGTGTTTTTTTTTCGTCAAGTTTACTTCTTGATGCCATTTTTTTTTCCTAGAAGTTTGAACCGTCATGAGCACTTGAGTGTCCCCTAAGACGTCCTATTGAGCTTCCCCTTAGTTTTTATGTGATCTCAGGAACATAAAATAGGTTCTTTTTTTCGAAGCTTCTCGGGCTCAGTTAGACTTTCTTACGCCCCTCAAGTAGTCCCTAGGATTTCACTACAAGCCTAGTTCATTTTTAATCATGTAGGTTTCTTAAAAATTCTTTTAAAGGTTTCTGTATATCTTTTGAAAACGCCTAAGTAGTCCCTTAGATTCAATCGAGCTTTTCCTCAAGTCCACATGTATTTTTGAGAGGAAAAGGACAATTTTCCGCCTTCGGAAGTAGCCCAGGCTCACAATTATTGTCGAAAGACCCTTAAGCGACCACTAAAAATAGAAGAGACCCGAGAACAATTTCCAAATTTTTACTCGGACATTGGTAACGCGAAACGGACGTTTCTGGACGATTCTAGGGATCACTTGAGGCTACTAAAGTGATCTCTAGAATCGCCCAGAAACGTTCGACTCGCGTCCCGTTCGCGTTACCAAGGTTCGAGTAGAGTTGCTTGAAATGAAATTAGAACGAACCCACTTGAGGGGTCTCTTGAGAATTTTTTTTTCACTTTGAAGTTCTCTTCAGCTTTTTGTTAGTTTGTAGCTAGTCCATATACATATATAATTTTTTTTTCAAACTTTATTTTTTGTTACCTCATGTGATTCCATTTCGTGTTGATTATTCCTATTATGAGCAGGCCCTCAGTTTTTTTTTCTTGTTTTTATCACTAAGGTGACCACTTCAATATTCCTTGTCACATTTTCCTCATGAATTAAAATTCCATCATATTTGACCTCAATTGTTCTTGTTGCCGTTGCATTTCAGAGATTTTATACAAACTTACTTATAAATTTAACAATTGACACTGGTTTTTAAGCTGAAAATTTGCTCAATATTTTTTCTTTGCATTTCTTGTTAAATATTGTGATAAAGTTTATATTATTAAATTCTATTTTTGTGTTCTGTGTGTGTAAAAATTTGTCAAGGGCGACTATTGAAGAAAAAGGCTTTTTATCCAAAAATAAATTTCAGAAAAAGTTTACGGGCTCTTCAATTGAATTTCCGTCGTCGGTTATCGAATTCTATCGGTAATCCGTGAAGATTAACACGGTTCTCAGGCTTATCAGCATAATGCTGACCATTTCTCAAGGTTTTTGGATGATTTATTGAGCTTTTTCTTATCGAAATCATGATTTTTGAAATGAGTAGTTAAAAACTTTTTTTTTCTAGTCAAAAATATTTAGAGTCTGGATTTTTTTTAGTATGATCCTGGTCAGAACCACTGGTAAAGATTTTTTTTTTTTGATTCCTGAGGGATTATTGGGCAAGTCAGATATGATAGCAAAACTATTTGGACGCAGAGAGGATTCGAACTTGAGTCCTGATTTCTCTAGTCAAGCCTCTTATCCCCTAGACCAAAAATCTTCTTCTGGCTCTTCATTAATCTTCATAGGCAAAGTCGGTAGGAGAGTCATAAAGGCTGCTGGAAGGCTCTATAGAAATGTTCCCTTTTTGCTCCATTTTCTCAGCCCTTATGCACCATTTTTGCTGCCTCTCCCTTTTTCATCCTTTTTCGAGCCTTTAAAATCCCAGAAAAAGGAAGGGCTTCATAAAGGAACTCTTTTTGCTGCCTTTCTGAAGCCTTTCTGCTGCCTTTCTGCGGCCTTTTTGCGGCCTTTCTGCGGCCTTTTTTGAGCCTGTTTGCTGTCTTTCTGCGGCCTTTTTTGAGCCTCTCCCTCTTAGCGGCCATTATCCACCATTCCGACCTTGCCCGAGTTGAGGTGGACAATGAACGAATAAAAAAAACAAACCCAAATTTCAACCTGAACCACGTCGACCCGGTTGCCTAGTGAGAGCGCTATTTTAAGTATAAACTATTATTAAATTTTTACGTTTTATAATTGCTAGTTTTCATATGACAGCTCAACGAAAAACACACGTGAATTTTTGGAAGGAAGAAAATCAAAATCAAAGTTTGTTATAAACATCAGACTAAAAACAACAAAATAAATTATTTGATTTGATTGATAAGGAAAATCAAAGTTCATTAAAATCGAAACAAGAAAAGAAGTTTTTGAGGAAAAAGACGTTCGAAATTGTATTTTTTGTGTGACATAATAGACATGATAGCTGAGTAGAACAGAAATAAGACGTTTTAGAAAAATAAAAACTTTGGAATGTTACAAATTTAGAACCTTATGAACTTTGTGATCTCAATGACCAAAAGTAATGAAATTTTCTCGATTCGCGGAGATTTTTGATTAAAATAAGCGGCTTTTTTCGAAAGTACCTCATATGTGACTTTCTCTAAAGCTGGTAACTGCTTTTTTTCGCTTGGAAATTTTTTTTCTAGGAAAAAAGTTGGTTCAACGCCTAGTTTGTAGGATTTGAGAGACATTTTTTTGGGTTTTTCTGTTTTTTTCTTCTTTAGGTTCATAGACAAAGTCGGAAAGGGTGGAAAAAGCTCTACAGAAATTTTCCTTTTTGCTGCCTCACCTTTTTCCACCAGTTTTTGAGCCTTTAAAGTTCTAGGAAAAAAATAAAGGCTATAGAAAAAAAGACATTATTGCTGCCTTTCTGCGGCCTTTTTGTTCCAAATTTCTGTGGTAATTAGTTCTGAGTTATAGTATTTCAAAAAGTTATCTACTTGATGTACCAAAAAGAAATCCTGCCGAAATCGTACGAGAAATCTTATAAAACAGCTTTTTCTTAAGAATGAAAAATTTGACTCGTGTTGCTGAAAAGCATCTGGTGCAGTTGTTTTCGAAATTTGAAGTCCCAGAAAAAGCATTTTTCAAGGCCTTTCTTGTTCAATTACGTTTTTTACTCAGATGTCAGATAATTATTTTTTTTTTCTCAAGTGATCTGACTTGAAAGTTATCTATCAACTACAGTTTCTCAGTCCTTTCCAAAGAGAAATTTATTTTTTCAGAAGTTTTCCCGATTCCTGGATCAACTAGGAGCCTTCTGACGGGCCGACAAAAATGGTTTGTTCAATTTTTTTTTTGAAAAAGCTTATTTTATTTCTTCTTGAAAAAGTTGCCTACGTTCACTTAGTTGATTTTTGACATATTTTTTCTGTAAGTCTTAATTTAAAACCTCAAAAAGGTTTTACCAATTTTTGAAATATAATTTGGTACTCTTTAATTCTGTTTTAGTGCAGGTGCAGCGCATTTTTTTGGATGTCCATCGAAGTTGAATGACCTTACAGTTTAGGAGAAACTTTATGAAAGCCCATTCAATTTTTTTAAATAATTTTAAGTCGATTTCAGACGATCAAAAAAATAAATGATTATAAAATCGAGTATTTTTTTCGAGATCTCGTTTCGCTGAGAATCTTAAAGACGCAGGTTTCTTTTGGGGGAATTAGACTAAAAATGCCTGTTAAAAAAACTAAATTTTTACCTTGTGGTTGAAAAAAATTCTTTAAAATTCACCAGAATACTTCATGAAGCACTAAATGAATTTTTCTCAAAGTCCCCAACTTGCTATTTTTTTGAAGAATTAGAGCTGATTTTTAAATAAAAAAATAACCAATTTCTGGTTTATGAAAGGTGTCGTTGACTTTTTTTCAAAAAAACAAAAAAAGCAATATTTATTTGGTTCATCAAGGAGCGGAGTGGCCAACTTTCAGGAAAATCCCTACTAGAAAGTGGAGCGACTTTCCTTATTAGTCTCGAGAGCTTCTTCAAAAAAATACCTGTAGAGTTTGTATCTGTAATTTTTCAAAAAAAGTTTTTAAAAAGCAAAAACAAAAATTTGATTTTTTTGGTTTTGGATGAAACGGCATCCAGTGTGATACCCCTCATCAGAAATGCGGTCGCAACTTTTTGAGCCATTTCTTCATACTGTAGCCGGGTTACGGTAGGCAGGTGGGCTCAGTATTTAAGAGTTTTTACTAGGAAAGTGATATATCAATCAATATGTATTCCAATTTTAGGAGTTTTTTCAGTACTTAAAATATTAGGGTACTGTAGAAGTTTTCGAGTTACGGTAATTTTTATTGCAACGTAAATACTTTCATCGAATATGTCTTGGAGTAGGTTCTAAACAATGCCACAAAAAAAAGTTCGGTTAAAACTTCTTCTATTATCTGTATATCACGTTTCGCTTCAAAACGCCTTGAAGGGATGCTTATAGGCCTTTATGACTCAAATTAACGCTAAAAACTTTTTTTCGCCTCGAGACTCTCGTCAAAAAATACAGAAAATAACTATTTTCCTCTCGAATCTCATAAAGAAAGTTTTTTGTCCTATGAGTCTTCAAATAGAATCTCTTCAGCATTTGATTAATCAACTGTAGTTTGTTTCCAGACCTTCTAATTCAGCCAAAATTAAGGCCGACACGTCTCCTTCAGAAGTTGAGGGTGGTGGGTCACGGGATATTTGCCCAAGACCTGCGTCAGGAAACCTTCCTCCTAACAAACGTCGTCTGATCGTTCATTTCCCGACGTCGTCGGCTCATCCTTAATTGTTCCTCACGTTTTGACGTTTAAGTTCTTTTTTGTCCAGAAATTTTCCGCTTTTTAGATGGTTTTTGAAGGACTTGGGACTACAGAAGAATAAAAAATTGAAATTTGATGTTAGAATAGTCTTAGGATTCGGCAGAGAATTTTTGAAAACTGCTTGACTCAGAATAAAGGCTTACGACAGTTTGGACTAGTGCGACCGCAACGCGTTGAGACATTCCAAATATGA